CCCACTCACCCACTCACTCACCCACTCACTCACCCACCCACAACTAGACACAGAAACAGGAGGTACAAAACGCGCAGAGATTTAATCTGACCGTCAACGTTAAATACACTTGGGTCTCCCTGAAGAGAGGAACAGTGAGTGGGTGAGTGAGTGGGTGGGTGAGTGAGTGGGTGGGTGAGTGAGTGAGTGGGTGAGTGGGTGAGTGGGTGGGTGGGTGGGTGAGTGGGTGGGTGGGTGGGTGAGTGGGTGGGTGGGTGAGTGACTGAGTGGGTGAGTGGGTGGGTGGGTGGGTGAGTGGGTGGGTGGGTGGGTGAGTGGGTGGGTGAGTGTGTGGGTGGGTGAGTGAGTGAGTGAGTGGGTGGGTGGGTGAGTGTGTGAGTGAGTGGGTGAGTGGGTAAGTGAGTGGGTGAGTGGGTGGGTGAGTGGGTGGTTGAGTGAGTCAGTGAGTGCGTGAGTGAGTGAGTGGGTGGGTGAGTGGGTGAGTGAGTGAGTGAGTGGGTGACTGAGCGAGTGACTGAGCGAGTGACTGAGCGAGTGACTGAGTGACTAAGCGAGTGACTGAGTGACTAAGTGAGTGACTGAGCGAGTGACTAAGCGAGTGACTAGTATCGGTATTTGGTGGAGTAGTCTTTGGGTGACACAACAAGCCCTCGGCCCTTGCGAGCTCCACGATAAACCGTCTCCACAATGTCCACCATCTCCTGCTTATCCTCCAGCGCCCAGTTGATCTTGTTGTTGTTTCCCGTGCCCAGGTCGATCATGATGTGCTTGTTTCTGGGGGAGGGCGTGCAGGGAAGACGTGGATGGTGGATCGCTCACTCAGTCACTCAGTCACTCACTCATTCACTCACTCGGTCACTCATTCACTCACTCACTTACCCACTCACTCACTCAGTCATTCGCTCAGCCACTCACCCACCCACCCACTCACCCACCCACCCACCCACTCACCCACCCACTCACCCACCCACCCACCCACTCAGCCACCCACCCACCCACTCACCCACCCACCCACCCACTCACCCACCCACCCACCCACCCACTCACCCACCCACCCACCCACCCACCCACTCACCCACCCACCCACTCACCCACCCACCCACCCACTCACCCACCCACCCACTCACCCACCCACCCACTCACCCACCCACCCACTCACCCACCCACCCACCCACTCACCCACCCACCCACCCACCCACCCACTCACCCACTCACCCACTCACTCAGTCACTCAGCCACTCACCCACTCAGTCACTCACTCACTCACCCACTCACTCACCCACCCACCCACTCACCCACCCACCCACTCACTCACCCACCCACCCACTCACTCACCCACCCACTCACTCACCCACCCACTCACTCACCCACCCACTCACTCACCCACCCACCCACCCACCCACTCACCCACCCACCCACTCACTCACCCACCCACTCACCCATTCACTCACCCACTCACTCACTCACTCACCCACTCACCCACCCACCCACCCAGTCACTCACTCACCCACTCACCCACTCACTCACCCACTCACCCACTCACCCACTCACACACCCACTCACCCACTCACCCACCCACCCACCCACTCACTCACCCACTCACTCACCCACTCACCCACACACTCACCCACTCACCCACACACTCACCCACTCACCCACCCACCCACCCACTCACTCACCCACTCACCCACTCACTCACTCACCCACTCACTCACCCACTCACCCACTCACTCACTCACCCACTCACCCACCCACCCACCCACTCACTCAACCACCCACTCACCCACTCACTCACCCACTCACCCACCCAGCCACTCACTCACCCAACCACTCACCCACTCACTCACCCACTCACTCACTCACTCACCCACCCACCCACTCACTCACCCACTCACTCACTCACTCACGCACCAACTCACTCACTCACTCACCCACTCACTCACCCACCCACTGACCCACCCACTCACTCACCCACCCACTCACCCACTCACTCACCCACTCACCCACCCACTCACCCACCCACCCACCCACTCACTCACCCACCCACTCACCCATTCACTCACCCACTCACTCACTCACCCACCCACTCACCCACCCTCTCACCCACCCACCCACTCACCCACCCACTCACCCACCCACTCACTCACTCACCCACCCACCCACGCACCAACTCACCCACTCACTCACCCACTCACTCACTCACTCACCCACTCACCCACTCACTCACCCACATACCCACTCACTCACCCACCCACTCACCCACTCACTCACCTACCCACTCACCCACTCACCCACCCACCCACTCACTCACTCACCCACCCACTCACTCACTCACCCACTCACTCACCCACCCACCCACCCACTCACTCACTCACTCACCCACACACCCACTCACTCACCCACTCACTCACCCACTCACTCACTCACCACTCACCCACCCACTCACTCACTCACTCACCCATCCACCCACTCACCCACCCACTCACCCACCCACCCACCCACTCACTCACCCACTCACCCACTCACCCACTAACTCACTCACGCATCCACTCACTCACTCACTTACCCACCCACCCACTCACCCACCCACTCACTCACTCACCCACCCACTCACTCACTCACCCACTCACCCACCCACTCACCCACCCACCCACCCACTCACTCACCCACTCACCCACTCACTCACCCACCCACCCACTCACCCACTCACTCACTCACCCACTCACTCACTCACCCACTCACCCACCCACCCACCCACTCACCCACTCACTCACCCACCCACCCACTCACCCACCCACTCACTCACCCACTCACCCACCCACCCACTCACCCACTCACCCACCCACCCACCCACTCACCCACCCACCCACCCACTCACCCACCCACCCACTCACCCACTCACCCACCCACCCACCCACTCACCCACTCACCCACCCACCCACCCACTCACTCACCCACTCACCCACTCACCCACTCACCCACCCACTCACCCACCCACCCACCCACTCACCCACTCACTCACTCACTCACCCACTCACCCAACCACTCACCCACTCACCCACCCACTCACCCACTCACTCACCCACTCACTCACTCACCCACTCACCCACTCACCCACCCACCCACTCACTCACCCACCCACCCACCCACTCACTCACCCACCCACCCACCCACTCACCCACTCACCCACCCACTCACTCACCCACCCACCCACTCACTCACCCACCCACCCACTCACTCACTCACCCACCCACTCACTCACTCACCCACTCACTCACCCACTCACTCACCCACTCACTCACAAACCCACCCACTCACCCACTCACTCACTCACTTACCCACTCACCCACTCACTCAATCACCCACTCACCCACCCACCCACCCACTCACCCACCCTCTCACCCACCCACCCACTCACCCACCCACTCACCCACCCACTCACTCACCCACCCACCCACGCACCAACTCACCCACTCACTCACCCACTCACTCACCCACTCACCCACTCACTAACCCACATACCCACTCACTCACCCACCCACCCACCCACTCACTCACCTACCCACTCACCCACTCACCCACCCACCCACTCACTCACTCACCCAACCACTCACTCACTCACCCACTCACTCACCCACCCACCCACCCACTCACTCACTCACTCACCCACACACCCACTCACTCACCCACTCACTCACCCACTCACTCACTCACCACTCACCCACCCACTCACTCACTCACTCACCCATCTACCCACTCACCCACCCACTCACCCACCCACCCACCCACTCACTCACCCACTCACCCACTCACTCACTCACGCATCCACTAACCCACTCACTCACCCACTCACTCACCCACTCACTCACTCACCCACTCACTCACTCACCCACTCACCCACCCACTCACCCACCCACCCACCCACTCACCCACCCACCCACTCACCCACTCACTTACCCACTCACTCACCCACTCACTCACCCACCCACCCACCCACTCACCCACTCACTCACTCACTCACCCACTCACTCACTCACCCACTCACCCACCCACTCACCCACTCACTGACCCACTCGCTTACCCACTCACTCACCCACTCACTCACCCACCCACCCAATCACCCACTCACCCACTCACTCACCCACTCACCCACCCACTCACTCACTCACCCACTCACCCACCCACTCACTCACCCACGCACTCACCCACTCACTCACTCACACACACACTCACTCACTCACACACTCACTCACCCACTCACTCACTCACTCACCCACTCACCCACGCACTCACCCACCCACTCACCCATTCACTCACCCACTCACTCACCCACTCACCCACTCACTCACTCACCCACTCACCCACCCACTCACTCACCCACGCACTCACCCACTCACTCACTCACACACTCACTCACACACTCACTCACTCACCCACTCACTCACCCACTCACCCACCCAGCCACTCACTCACCCACTCACTCACCCACTCACTCACCCACCCACTCACCCACTCACCCACTAACCCACCCACTCACTCACTCACCCACCCACCCACTCACCCACCCACTCACCCACTCACTCACTCACCCACCCCCTCACTCACCCACTCACTCACCCACCCACTCACTCACCCACTACTCACTCACTCACCCACCCACCCACTCACCCACCCACTCACTCACTCACTCACCCACCCACCCACTCACTCACTCACTCACCCACTCACTCTATCACCCACTCACTCACTCACCCACCCACTCACTCACCCACTCACCCACTACTCACTCACTCACCCACCCACCCACTCACCCACCCACCCAGCCACTCACTCACCCACTCACTCACTCACTCACCCACTCACTCACCCACGCACTCACCCACCCACTCACTCACTCACCCACTCACTCTATCACCCACTCACTCACTCACCCACCCACTCACCCACCCACTCACTCACTCACCCACCCACCCACCCACTCACTCACCCACTCACTCACCCACCCACCCACTCACTCACCCACTCACTCACTCACTCACCCACCCACTCACCCACTCACTCACTCACCACTCACCACTCACTCACTCACCCACTTACCCACCCACTCACCCACCCACAACGAGACAGAAACAGGAGGTACAAAACGCGCAGAGATTTAATCTGACCGTCAACGTTAAATACACTTGGGTCTCCCTGAAGAGAGGAACAGTGAGTGGGTGGGTGAGTGGGTGGGTGGGTGAGTGAGTGGGTGGGTGAGTGGGTGGGTGGGTGAGTGGGTGAGTGACTGGGTGAGTGGGTGAGTGGGTGAGTGAGTGAGTGAGTGGGTGAGTGAGTGGGTGAGTGAGTGAGTGGGTGAGTGAGTGGGTGAGTGGGTGAGTGGGTGAGTGAGTGAGTGGGTGAGTGGGTGGGTGGGTGAGTGGGTGGGTGGGTGAGTGGGTGAGTGAGTGGGTGAGTGGGTGAGTGGGTGAGTGAGTGAGTGGGTGAGTGAGTGGGTGAGTGGGTGAGTGGGTGAGTGAGTGGGTGGGTGAGTGAGTGGGTGAGTGAGTGAGTGAGTGGGTGAGTGGGTGGGTGGGTGGGTGAGTGGGTGGGTGGGTGGGTGAGTGGGTGAGTGAGTGGGTGGGTGGGTGAGTGGGTGGGTGAGTGAGTGGGTGGGTGAGTGAGTGGGTGGGTGAGTGAGTGAGTTGGTGAGTGGGTGAGTGGGTGAGTGAGTGAGTGGGTGAGTGGGTGGGTGGGTGAGTGGGTGAGTGAGTGGGTGAGTGGGTGGGTGGGTGAGTGGGTGAGTGAGTGGGTGGGTGAGTGAGTGAGTGACTGAGCGAGTGACTGAGTGACTAAGTGACTGAGTGACTAAGTGACTGAGCGAGTGACTGAGTGAGTGACTGAGCGAGTGACTGAGCGACTGAGTGACTGAGCGAGTGACCGAGTGACTGAATGACTGAGCGAGTGACTAAGCGAGCGAGTGACTGAGCGAGTGACTAAGCGAGTGACTGAGCGAGTGACTGAGCGAGTGACTGAGCGAGTGACTAAGCGAGTGACTGAGTGACTGAGCGAGTGACTGAGTGACTGAGTGAGTGACTAAGTGAGTGACTAAGTGAGTGACTGAGCGAGTGACTGAGTGACTGAGTGAGTGACTGAGTGAGTGAGTGGCTGACTGAGTGACTAAGCAAGTGACTAAGCGAGTGACTAAGTGAGCGAGTGACTGACTGAGTGACTAACTGAGTGAGTGACTGAGTGAGTGACTGAGCGAGTGACTAAGCGAGTGACTAGTATCGGTATTTGGTGGAGTAGTCTTTGGGTGACACAACAAGCCCTCGGCCCTTGCGAGCTCCACGATAAACCGTCTCCACAATGTCCACCATCTCCTGCTTGTCCTCCAGCGCCCAGTTGATCTTGTTGTTGTTTCCCGTGCCCAGGTCGATCATGATGTGCTTGTTTCTGGGGGAGGGCGTGCAGGGAAGACGTGGATGGTGGATCGCTCACTCAGTCACTCACTCAGTCAGTCAGTCACTCACTCAGTCACTCAATCACTCAGTCACTCATTCACTCACTCATTCATTCACTCAGTCAGTCACTCAATCACTCAGTCACTCATTCACTCACTCATTCATTCACTCAGTCAGTCACTCACTCACTCAGTCAGTCATTCATTCAGTCACTCAGTCACTCAGTCAATCACTCAGTCACTCACTCAGTCAGTCAGTCACTCACTCACTCACCCACTCAGTCACTCAGTCAGTCACTCACTCAGTCACTCAGTCACTCAGTCAGTCACTCACTCAGTTAGTCTGTTACTCACTCAGCCACTCACTCAGTCAGTCAGGCACTCAGTAACTCACTCAGTCACTTACTCACTCAGTCAGTGAGTCACTCACTCAGTCACTGAGTCACTCACTCAGTCACTCAGTCACTCAGTCAGTCACTCAGTCAGTCACTCAGTAAGTCACTCTGTCAGTCACTCAGTCACTCACTCAGTCAGTCACTCACTCAGTCACTCAGTCAGTCACTCACTCAGTCAGTCACTCACTCAGTCACTCAGTCAGTCACTCACTCACTCAGTCACTCAGTCAGTCACTCACTCAGTCACTCACTCAGTCACTCAGTCAGTCACTCACTCAGTCACTCAGTCAGTCACTCACTCACTCACCCACTCACCCACTCACCCACCCACTCACCCACCCACCCAAACACCCACCCACTCACTCACCCACCCACTCACTCACCCACGCACTCACCCACCCACTCACTCACTCACCCACTCACTCACCCACTCACTCACCCACTCACCCACCCACCCACTCACCCACTCACTCACTCACCCACCCACTCACCCACCCACAATGAGACACAGAAACAGGAGGTACAAAACGCGCAGAGATTTAATCTGACCGTCAACGTTAAATACACTTGGGTCTCCCTGAAGAGAGGAACAGTGGGTGGGTGGGTGAGTGGGTGAGTGGGTGGGTGAGTGAGTGGGTGAGTGGGTGAGTGAGTGGGTGAGTGAGTGGGTGAGTGAGTGGGTGAGTGAGTGGGTGAGTGGGTGAGTGAGTGGGTGAGTGGGTGAGTGAGTGGGTTAGTGAGTGAGTGGGTGAGTGAGTGAGTGAGTGGGTGAGTGGGTGAGTGGGTGAGTGGGTGAGTGAGTGGGTTAGTGAGTGAGTGAGTGGGTGAGTGAGTGGGTGAGTGGGTGAGTAGGTGAGTGAGTGGTGAGTGGGTGGGTGAGTGGGTGGGTGAGTGAGTGAGTGGGTGGGTGAGTGGGTGAGTGGGTGGGTGAGTGGGTGGGTGAGTGGGTGGGTGAGTGGGTGAGTGGGTGGGTGAGTGGGTGAGTGAGTGAGTGGGTGAGTGGGTGAGTGAGTGGGTGAGTGAGTGAGTGGTGAGTGAGTGGGTGGGTGAGTGGGTGGGTGAGTGAGTGAGTGGGTGGGTGAGTGGGTGGGTGGGTGAGTGGGTGGGTGAGTTGGTGAGTGGGTGGGTGGGTGAGTGGGTGAGTGAGTGAGTGAGTGGGTGAGTGGGTGAGTGAGTGGGTGAGTGGGTGAGTGGGTGGGCGAGTGAGTGGGTGAGTGAATGGGTAGGTGAGTGAGTGGGTGAGTGGGTGAGTGAGTGAGTGGGTGAGTAAGTGAGTGGGTGAGTGGGTGGGTGAGTGAGTGGGTGAGTGAATGGGTAGGTGAGTGAGTGGGTGAGTGGGTGAGTGGGTGAGTGGGTGAGTGAGTGAGTGGGTGAGTAAGTGAGTGGGTGAGTGGGTGGGTGAGTGGGTGGGTGAGTGGGTGAGTGGGTGAGTGAGTGAGTGGGTGAGTGGGTGAGTGAGTGGGTGAGTGGGTGAGTGAGTGGTGAGTGAGTGGGTGGGTGAGTGGGTGGGTGAGTGAGTGGGTGGGTGAGTGAGTGGGTGAGTGGGTGAGTGGGTGGGTGGGTGAGTGACTGAGCGAGTGACTGAGCGAGTGACTGAGCGACTGAGTGACTGAGCGAGTGACTGAGCGAGTGACTGACTGAGCGAGTGACTGAGCGAGTGACTGAGCGAGTGACTAAGCGAGTGACTAGTATCGGTATTTGGTGGAGTAGTCTTTGGGTGACACAACGAGCCCTCGGCCCTTGCGAGCTCCACGATAAACCGTCTCCACAATGTCCACCATCTCCTGCTTGTCCTCCAGCGCCCAGTTGATCTTGTTGTTGTTTCCCGTGCCCAGGTCGATCATGATGTGTTTGTTTCTGGGGGAGGGCGTGCAGGGAAGACGTGGATGGTGGATCGCTCACTCAGTCACTCAGTCACTCAGTCAGTCACTCACTCACTCAGCCACTCACTCAGTCACTCAGTCAGTCAGTCAGTCACTCAGTCAGTCAGTCAGTCAATCACTCAGTCACTCAGTCACTCAATCACTCACTCAGTCATTCACTCAGTCACTCATTCACTCACTCACTCAGTCACTTAGCCACTCATTCACTCAGCCACTCACTCACTCAGCCACTCACTCACTCACTCAGTCACTCAGCCACTCACTCAGCCACCCACTCACTCACTCACTCAGTCACTCAGCCACTCACTCAGTCACTCACTCACCCACTCACTCACTCACCCACCCACTCACTCACTCACCCACTCACTCACCCACTCACTCAGTCACTCAGTCAGTCAGTCACTCACTCACTCACTCAGCCACTCACTCACTCACTCAGTCAGTCAGTCACTCAATCACTCAGTCAGTCAGTCAGTCACTCACCCACTCACTCACCCACTCACTCACCCACTCACCCACTCACCCACCCACTCACTTACTCACCCACTCACTCACCCACCCACAATGAGACACAGAAACAGGAGGTACAAAACGCGCAGAGATTTAATCTGACCGTCAACGTTAAATACACTTGGGTCTCCCTGAAGAGAGAGACAGTGGGTGGGTGGGTGAGTGACTGAGTGGGTGGGTGAGTGGGTGAGTGACTGAGTGGGTGAGTGGCTGAGTGGCTGAGTGAGTGAGTGGGTGAGCGAGTGACTGAGTGAGTGAGTGGGTGAGTGAGTGAGTAGCTGAGTGAGTGACTGAGCGAGTGACTGAGTGACTGAGCGAGTGACTGAGCGAGTGACTGAGCAAGTGACTGAGTGACTGAGTGACTGAGCGAGTGACTGAGCGAGTGACTGAGTGAGTGACTGAGTGAGTGACTGAGCGAGTGACTGAGCGAGTGACTAAGTGAGCGAGTGACTAAGTGAGCGAGTGACTAAGCGAGTGACTGAGTGACTGAGCGAGTGACTGAGTGACTAAGCGAGTGACTGAGTGACTGAGTGAGTGACTGAGTGAGTGACTGAGTGACTAAGCGAGTGACTGAGTGACTGAGTGACTGAGTGATTAAGCGAGTGACTGAGTGACTGACTAAGCGAGTGACTGAGTGACTAAGCGAGTGACTGAGCGAGTGACTGAGCGACTAAGTGACTGAGCGAGTGACTGAGTGACTGGGTGAGTGACTGAGCAAGTGACTGAGCGAGTGACTGAGTGAGTGACTGAGTGAGTGAGTGACTGAGCGAGTGACTAAGTGAGCGAGTGACTAAGTGAGTGACTGAGTGACTGAGTGAGTGACTAAGCGAGTGACTGAGCGAGTGACTGAGCGAGTGACTGAGCGAGTGACTAAGCGAGTGAATAAGCGAGTGACTGAGCGAGTGACTAAGCGAGTGACTGAGCGAGTGAGTGACTGAGCGAGTGACTGAGTGACTGAGTGAGTGACTAGTATCGGTATTTGGTGGAGTAGTCTTTGGGTGACACAACAAGCCCTCGGCCCTTGCGAGCTCCACGATAAACCGTCTCCACAATGTCCACCATCTCCTGCTTGTCCTCCAGCGCCCAGTTGATCTTGTTGTTGTTTCCCGTGCCCAGGTCGATCATGATGTGCTTGTTTCTGGGGGAGGGCGTGCAGGGAAGACGTGGATGGTGGATCGCTCACTCAGTCACTCAGTCAGTCACTCATTCACTCAGTCAGTCACTCAGTCACTCATTCAGTCACTCACTCAGCCACCCACCCAATAACTCAGTCACTCAGCCACTCACTCAGTCACTCACTCACTCAGCCACTCAGTCACTCACTGACTCAGCCACTCAGTCACTCAGTCACTCATTCAGTCACTCAGTCACTCAGTCACTCATTCACTCACTCAGCTACTCACTCACTCACTCAGCCACCCACTCACTCACTCACTCACCCACTCACCCACTCACTCACCCACCCACAATGAGACACAGAAACAGGAGGTACAAAACGCGCAGAGATTTAATCTGACCGTCAACGTTAAATACACTTGGGTCTCCCTGAAGAGAGGGACAGTGAGTGAGTGGGTGAGTGGGTGGGTGAGTGGGTGAGTGGGTGAGTGGGTGGGTGAGTGAGTGAGTGGGTGAGTGAGTGAGTGAGTGGGTGGGTGAGTGGGTGAGTGAGTGAGTGGGTGAGTGGGTGGGTGAGTGGGTGGGTGGGTGAGTGGGTGGGTGAGTGGGTGAGTGAGTGAATGAGTGGGTGGGTGAGTGACTGAGCGAGTGACTGAGTGAGTAACTGAGTGACTGAGTGACTGAGTGCCTGAGCGAGTGACTGAGCGAGTGACTGAGTGAGTGACTAAGTGAGCGAGTGACTAAGTGACTGACTGAGTGACTGAGCGAGTGACTGAGTGACTGGGTGAGTGACTGAGCAAGTGACTGAGCGAGTGACTGAGTGAGTGACTGAGTGAGTGAGTGACTGAGCGAGTGACTAAGTGAGCGAGTGACTAAGTGAGTGACTGAGTGACTGAGTGAGTGACTAAGCGAGTGACTGAGCGAGTGACTGAGCGAGTGACTGAGCGAGTGACTAAGCGAGTGAATAAGCGAGTGACTGAGCGAGTGACTAAGCGAGTGACTGAGCGAGTGAGTGACTGAGCGAGTGACTGAGTGACTAAGTGAGTGACTAGTATCGGTATTTGGTGGAGTAGTCTTTGGGTGACACAACAAGCCCTCGGCCCTTGCGAGCTCCACGATAAACCGTCTCCACAATGTCCACCATCTCCTGCTTGTCCTCCAGCGCCCAGTTGATCTTGTTGTTGTTTCCCGTGCCCAGGTCGATCATGATGTGCTTGTTTCTGGGGGAGGGCGTGCAGGGAAGACGTGGATGGTGGATCGCTCACTCGCTCACTCAGTCACTCACTCAGTCAGTCACTCAGTCACTCAGTCAGTCACTCAGTCACTCATTCACTCAGTCAGTCATTCACTCACTCAGTCACTCAGTCAGTCACTCAGTCACTCACTCAGTCAGTCACTCAGTCACTCAGTCAGTCACTCAGTCACTCATTCACTCACTCACTCAGTCACTTAGCCACTCATTCACTCAGCCACTCACTCACTCAGCCACTCACTCACTCACTCAGTCACTCAGCCACTCACTCAGCCACCCACTCACTCACTCACTCATTCACTCAGTCACTCACTCACTCATCCAATCACTCACTCACTCAGTCACTCAGCCACTCACCCAGTCACTCACTCACTCACTCAGTCACTCAGCCACTCACTCATCCAATCACTCACTCACCCACTCACTCACCCACTCACTCAGTCACTCAGTAACTCATTCAGTCACTCACTCACTCATCCAATCACTCACTCACTCAGTCACTCAGTCACTCACTCGGTCACTCAGTCACTCAGTCACTCAGTCACTCACTCACTCACTCAGTCACTTAGTCAGTCATTCATTCAGTCACTCACTCAGTCACTCACTCAGTCAGTCATTCACTCACTCAGTCATTCATTCACTAACTCACTCAGTCACTCATTCACTCACTCAGTCACTCACTCACTCAGCCACTCAGTCACTCACTCAGTCACTCACTCAGTCACTCAGTCACTCACTCACCCACTCACTCACCAACTCACTCAGCCACTCAGTCACTCACTCAGTCACTCATACACTCACTCACTCAGTCACTCACTCACTCACTCAGCCACTCGCTCAGCCACTCAGCCACTCACTCACTCACTCAGTCACTCACTCACTCACCCACTCACTCACTCAGTCACTCAGTCACTCACTCAGTCACTCAGTCAGTCACTCACTCACTCAGTCAATCACTCACTCAATCACTCACTCAGTCACTCAGTCACTCACTCAGTCACTCACTCACTCAGTCACTCAGTCAATCACTCACTCAGTCACTCAGTCACTCACTCACTCAGTCACTCAGTCACTCACTCAGTCACTCACTCAGCCACTCACTCACTCACTCAGTCACTCACTCAGACACTCAGTCACTCACTCAGTCACTCACTCACCCACTCACTCAGCCACTCACTCACTCAGTCACTCAGCCACTCACTCAGTCACTAACTCAGTCACTCACTCAGCCACTAACTCACTCAGTCACTCACTCACTCAGCCACTCACTCAGTCACTCACTCAGCCACTCACTCACTCACCCACTCACTCACTCGGCCACTCACCCACCCACTCACTCACTCAGCCACTCACTCAGTCACTCACCCACCCAATCACTCAGTTACTCACCCACTCACCCACTCACTCAGCCATTCACTCAGCCATTCACTCAGTCACTCACTCAGCCACTCACTCAGCCACTCACTCAGCCACTCACTCACTCAGCCACTCACTCACTCAGCCACTCGCTCACTCACTCAGTCACTCACTCACTCACTCAGCCACTCACTAAGCCACTCACTCACTCACTCAGCCACTCACTCACTCACCCACCCACTCACTCAATCAGCCACTCACTCAGTCACTCACCCACACACTCACTCACTCAGCCACTCACCCACTCACTCACTCAGCCACTCACTCAGCCACTCACTCAGCCACTCACTCACTCAGTCACTCAGCCACTCAGCCACTCACTCACCCACTCACTCAGTCACTCACTCACCCACTCACTCACTCAACCACTCACTTACCCACCTACTCACTCACCCACTCATTCACTCACTCACCCACTCACCCAATCACTCACCCACTCACCCAATCACTCAGCCACTCACTCACTCAGCCACTCACTGACTCAGCCACTCAGCCACTCACTCACTCAGCCATTCACTCACTTAGTCACTCAGTCACTCACCCACTCACTCAGCCACTCACTCACTCAGCCACTCACTCACTCAGCCACTCACTCACTCAGCCACTCACTCAGCCACTCACTCAGCCACTCACTCACCCACCTACTCACCTACTCACTCACTCACACACCAACTCACTCACCCACCCACCCACTCACCCACCCACCCACTCACCCACTCACTCACCCACTCACTCACTTACCCACCCACCCACTCACCCACTCACTCACTCACTCACCCACTCACTCACTCACTCACTTACTCACCCACCTACTCACTCACCCACTCACCCACTCAATCACCCACTCACTCATTCACCCTCTCACTCAGCCACTCACTCACTCACCACTCACTCACTCACCTACCCACCCACTCACCCACTCACCCACCCACTCACTCACCCACTCACTCACTCACTCACCCACTCACTCACCCACCCACCTACTCACCCACCCACCTACTCACCCACTCACTCACTCACTCACCCACTCACCCACCCAACCACCCACCCACTCACTCACCCACCCACACACTCACCCACACACTCACCCACTCACCCATCCACTCACTCACCCACTCACCCACCCACCCACCCACTCACCCACTCACTCACTCACCCACTCACCCACCCACTCACTCACCCACCCACCCACCCACTCACCCACCCACCCACCCACTCACTCACTCACCCACCCACTCACTCACTCACTCACCCACCCACCCACTCACTCACCCACTCACTCACCCACCCACTCACTCACCAACCCACTCACCAACCCACTCACTCACCCACTCACTCACCCACTCACTCACCCACCCACCTACTCACCCACCCACCTACTCACCCACTCACTCACTCACTCACCCACTCACCCACCCATCCACCCACCCACTCACTCACCCACCCACACACTCACCCACACACTCACCCACACACTCACCCACTCACCCATCCACTCACTCACCCACTCACCCACCTACCCACCCACTCACCCACCCACCCACTCACCCACTCACCCACCCACTCACCCACCCACCCACTCACCCACCCACCCACCCACCCACTCACTCACTCACCCACTCACTCACTCACCCACTCACTCACTCACTCACCCACTCACTCACCCACTCACCCACCCATCCACCCACCCACTCACTCACCCACCCACACACTCACCCACACACTCACCCACTCACCCACCCACTCACTCACCCACTCACCCACCCACCCACCCACTCACCCACCCACCCACTCACCCACTCACTCACCCACTCACCCACCCACTCACTCACCCACCCACCCACCCACCCACCCACCCACTCACTCACCCACCCACTCACTCACTCACTCACCCACCCACCCACTCACTCACTCACCCACTCACTCACTCACTCACCCAACCACTCACTCACCCACTCACTCACCCACCCACTCACTCACCAACCCACTCACCAACCCACTCACTCACCCACTCACCCACCCACTCACTCACTCACCCACCCACCCACGTACCCACTCACCCTCCCACTCACTCACCCACTCACTCACCCACCCACCTACTCACCCACTCACTCACTCACTCACCCACTCACCCACCCATCCACCCACCCACTCACTCACCCACCCACACACCCACCCACACACTCACCCACACACTCACCCACTCACCCATCCACTCACTCACCCACTCACCCACCTACCCACCCACTCACCCACCCACCCACTCACCCACTCACCCAACCACTCACTCACCCACCCACCCACTCACTCACCCACCCACTCACTCACTCACTCACCCACCCACTCACTCACTCACTCACCCACCCACCCACTCACTCACTCACCCACTCACTCACTCACTCACCCACCCACTCACTCACCCACTCACTCACTCACCCACCCACTCACTCACCAACCCACTCACCAACCCACTCACTCACCCACTCACCCACCCACTCACTCACCCACCCACCCACCCACTCACCCTCCCACTCACTCACCCACCCACTCACCCACCCACTCACTCACTCACCCACCCACTCACTCACCCACTCACTCACTCACCCACCCACTCACTCACTCATCACTCACTCACTCACCCACCCACTCACCCACCCACCCACACACTCACTCACTCACTCACCCACTCACTCACTCACCCACCCACTCACCCACTCACCCACCCACCCACTCACCCACCCACCCACTCACCCACTCACTCACTCACTCACCCACTCACCCACTCACCCACCCACCCACTCACTCACTCACTCACCCACCCACCCACTCACCCACCCACCCACCCACTCACCCACCCACCCACCCACCCACTCACCCACCCACCCACCCACTCGCCCACCCACCCACCCACTCACCCACCCACCCACCCACTCACCCACCCACCCACTCACCCACCCACCCACCCACCCACTCACCCACCCACCCACCCACCCACTCACTCACCCACCCACCCACCCACTCACCCACCCACCCACCCACCCACTCACCCACCCACTCACCCACCCACCCACTCACTCACCCACTCACCCACTCACTCACCCACCCACCCACTCACCCACTCACTCACTCACCCACTCACCCACCCACCCACCCACCCACTCACCCACTCACTCAACCACCCACCCACTCACCCACCCACTCACCCACCCACTCACCCACCCACCCACTCACCCACTCACCCACCCACCCACCCACTCACCCACTCACTCAACCACCCACCCACTCACCCACCCACTCACTCACCCACTCACCCACCCACCCACTCACCCACTCACCCACCCACCCACCCACTCACCCACCCACCGACCTACTCACCCACCCAACCATTCACCCACCCACCCACTCACCCACTCACCCACCCACTCACCCACCCACTCACCCACCCACCCACTCACCCACTCACCCACCCACTCACCCACTCACCCACCCACTCACCCACCCACCCACCCACTCACCCACCCACCCACCTAAAGAAGAACATGCAGGTGCAGGGATCGTAGAGTTCATACATTTTGTTGAAGTCCGGCACCTCGGTGATGTCAACCAAATAGATCACTGCAAAATTCTTAACCTGTGGGACAGTGGGTGGGTGGGTGGGTTAGTGGGTGGGTGGGTGGGTGAGTGGGTGGGTGGGCGGGTGGGTGGGTGGGTGGGCGGGTGGGTGAGTGGGTGGGTGGGTGGGTGAGTGAGTGGGTGAGTGAGTGAGTGAGTGGGTGAGTGAGTGAGTGGGTGGGTGGGTGGGTGAGTGAGTGAGTGGGTGGGTGGGTGGGTGAGTGAGTGAGTGAGTGGGTGGGTGGGTGAGTGGGTGGGTGGGTGGGTGAGTGAGTGGGTGGGTGGGTGGATGAGTGAGTGGGTGGGTGAGTGAGTGGGTGGGTGAGTGAGTGAGTGAGTGGGTGGGTGAGTGAGTGGGTGGGTGAGTGAGTGGGTGGGTGGGTGAGTGAGTGGGTGGGTGAGTGAGTGAGTGAGTGGGTGGGTGAGTGAGTGAGTGGGTGGGTGAGTGAGTGGGTGGGTGAGTGAGTGGGTGAGTGGGTGGGTGGGTGGGTGAGTGGGTGAGTGGGTGGGTGGGTGAGTGAGTGGGTGGGTGGGTGAGTGGGTGGGTGGGTGAGTGGGTGAGTGAGTGAGTGAGTGGGTGAGTGAGTGGGTGAGTGAGTGGGTGGGTGAGTGAGTGAGTGGGTGGGTGAGTGAGTGAGTGGGTGAGTGAGTGGGTGGGTGAGTGAGTGGGTGGGTGAGTGAGTGGGTGGGTGAGTGAGTGAGTGAGTGGGTGAGTGGGTGGGTGGGTGGGTGAGTGGGTGGGTGGGTGGGTGAGTGGGTGGGTGAGTGGGTGAGTGAGTGGGTGAGTGAGTGGGTGGGTGGGTGAGTGAGTGGGTGAGTGGGTGAGTGAGTGGGTGGGTGAGTGGGTGAGTGGGTGGGTGGGTGGGTGAGTGAGTGGGTGGGTGGGTGAGTGAGTGAGTGAGTGGGTGAGTGGGTGAGTGAGTGGTGAGTGGGTGGGTGAGTGGGTGAGTGAGTGGGTGGGTGGGTGGGTGGGTGAGTGGGTGGGTGGGTGGGTGAGTGGGTGGGTGAGTGGGTGAGTGAGTGACTGGGTGAGTGAGTGAGTGGGTGGGTGGGTGAGTGGTTGGGTGAGTGAGTGGGTGGGTGAGTGAGTGGGTGGGTGAGTGAGTGAGTGAGTGGGTGGGTGAGTGAGTGGGTGGGTGAGTGAGTGGGTGGGTGGGTGAGTGAGTGGGTGGGTGAGTGAGTGAGTGAGTGGGTGGGTGAGTGAGTGGGTGGGTGGGTGAGTGAGTGGGTGAGTGGGTGGGTGGGTGGGTGAGTGGGTGAGTGGGTGGGTGGGTGAGTGAGTGGGTGGGTGGGTGAGTGGGTGGGTGGGTGAGTGGGTGAGTGAGTGAGTGAGTGGGTGAGTGAGTGGGTGAGTGAGTGGGTGGGTGAGTGAGTGAGTGGGTGGGTGAGTGAGTGAGTGGGTGAGTGAGTGGGTGAGTGAGTGAGTGGGTGGGTGAGTGAGTGGGTGGGTGAGTGAGTGGGTGGGTGAGTGAGTGAGTGAGTGGGTGAGTGGGTGGGTGGGTGGGTGAGTGGGTGGGTGGGTGGGTGAGTGGGTGGGTGAGTGGGTGAGTGAGTGGGTGAGTGAGTGGGTGGGTGGGTGAGTGAGTGGGTGAGTGGGTGAGTGAGTGGGTGGGTGAGTGGGTGAGTGGGTGGGTGGGTGGGTGAGTGAGTGGGTGGGTGGGTGAGTGAGTGAGTGAGTGGGTGGGTGGGTGAGTGAGTGGTGAGTGAGTGGGTGGGTGAGTGGGTGAGTGAGTGGGTGGGTGGGTGGGTGGGTGAGTGGGTGGGTGGGTGGGTGAGTGGGTGGGTGAGTGGGTGAGTGAGTGACTGGGTGAGTGAGTGAGTGGGTGGGTGGGTGAGTGGTTGGGTGAGTGAGTGGGTGGGTGGGTGAGTGGATGAGTGAGTAAGTGGGTGGGTGGGTGGGTGAGTGAGTGGGTGGGTGGGTGTGTGGATGAGTGAGTGAGTGAGTGGGTGAGTAGGTAAGTGAGTGAGTGGGTGAGTGAGTGAGTTGGTGGGTGAGTGGGTGGGTGAGTGGATGAGTGAGTAAGTGGGTGGGTGGGTGAGTGAGTGGGTGGGTGGGTGAGTGGGTGAGTGGGTGGGTGAGTGAGTGGGTGGGTGGGTGAGTGGGTGGGTAAGTGGGTGGGTGGGTGGGTGAGTGGGTGGGTGAGTGAGTGGGTGGGTGGGTGAGTGGGTGAGTGAGTGGGTGGGTGAGTGAGTGGGTGGGTGGGTGAGTGAGTGGGTGGGTGAGTGGGTGGGTGAGTGAGTGAGTGGGTGGGTGAGTGGGTGAGTGAGTGAGTGGGTGGGTGGGTGAGTGAGTGGGTGGGTGGGTGGGTGAGTGGGTGGGTGGGTGAGTGGGTGGGTGAGTGGGTGGGTGAGTGAGTGAGTGAGTGGGTGGGTGGGTGAGTGGGTGGGTGGGTGGGTGGGTGAGTGGGTGGGTGGGTGGGTGAGTGGGTGGGTGAGTGGGTGAGTGAGTGACTGGGTGAGTGAGTGAGTGGGTGGGTGGGTGAGTGGTTGGGTGAGTGAGTGGGTGGGTGGGTGGGTGAGTGAGTGAGTGAGTGGGTGGGTGGGTGGGTGGGTGAGTGAGTGGTGAGTGAGTGGGTGGGTGAGTGGGTGAGTGAGTGAGTGGGTGGGTGGGTGGGTGAGTGGGTGGGTGGGTGGGTGAGAGGGTGGGTGAGTGGGTGAGTGAGTGACTGGGTGAGTGAGTGAGTGGGTGGGTGGGTGAGTGGTTGGGTGAGTGAGTGGGTGGGTGGGTGAGTGGATGAGTGAGTAAGTGGGTGGGTGGGTGAGTGGGTGAGTGAGTGGGTGGGTGAGTGGGTGGGTGGGTGAGTGAGTGGGTGAGTGGGTGAGTGAGTGGGTGGGTGAGTGGGTGAGTGGGTGGGTGAGTGAGTGAGTGAGTGGGTGGGTGGGTGAGTGAGTGGTGAGTGAGTGGGTGGGTGAGTGGGTGAGTGAGTGGGTGGGTGGGTGGGTGAGTGGGTGGGTGGGTGGGTGAGTGGGTGGGTGAGTGGGTGAGTGAGTGACTGGGTGAGTGAGTGAGTGGGTGGGTGGGTGGGTGAGTGGGTGGGTGGGTGGGTGAGTGAGTGGGTGGGTGAGTGAGTGGGTGGGTGAGTGAGTGAGTGAGTGGGTGGGTGAGTGAGTGGGTGGGTGAGTGAGTGGGTGGGTGAGTGAGTGAGTGGGTGGGTGAGTGAGTGGGTGGGTGGGTGAGTGAGTGGGTGAGTGGGTGGGTGGGTGGGTGAGTGGGTGAGTGGGTGGGTGTGTGTGTGAGTGGGTGGGTGGGTGAGTGGGTGGGTGGGTGAGTGGGTTGGTGAGTGAGTGGGTGAGTGAGTGAGTGGGTGAGTGAGTGGGTGAGTGAGTGGGTGGGTGAGTGAGTGAGTGGGTGGGTGAGTGAGTGAGTGGGTGAGTGAGTGGGTGAGTGAGTGAGTGGGTGGGTGAGAGAGTGGGTGGGTGAGTGGGTGGGTGGGTGGGTGAGTGGGTGGGTGAGTGGGTGGGTGGGTGAGTGAGTGGTGAGTGAGTGGGTGGGTGAGTGGGTGAGTGAGTGAGTGGGTGGGTGGGTGGGTGAGTGGGTGGGTGGGTGGGTGAGAGGGTGGGTGAGTGGGTGAGTGAGTGACTGGGTGAGTGAGTGAGTGGGTGGGTGGGTGAGTGGTTGGGTGAGTGAGTGGGTGGGTGGGTGAGTGGATGAGTGAGTAAGTGGGTGGGTGGGTGAGTGGGTGAGTGCGTGGGTGAGTGAGTGGGTGGGTGGGTGAGTGAGTGGGTGAGTGGGTGAGTGAGTGGGTGGGTGAGTGGGTGAGTGAGTGGGTGAGTGAGTGAGTGAGTGGGTGAGTGGGTGAGTGAGTGGTGAGGGAGTGGGTGGGTGAGTGGGTGAGTGAGTGGGTGGGTGGGTGGGTGAGTGGGTGGGTGGGTGGGTGAGTGGGTGGGTGAGTGGGTGAGTGAGTGACTGGGTGAGTGAGTGAGTGGGTGGGTGGGTGGGTGAGTGGGTGGGTGGGTGGGTGAGTGAGTGGGTGGGTGAGTGAGTGGGTGGGTGAGTGGGTGAGTGAGTGAGTGGGTGAGTGAGTGGGTGGGTGAGTGAGTGGGTGGGTGAGTGAGTGAGTGGGTGGGTGAGTGAGTGGGTGGGTGGGTGAGTGAGTGGGTGAGTGGGTGGGTGGGTGGGTGAGTGGGTGAGTGGGTGGGTGGGTGAGTGAGTGGGTGGGTGGGTGAGTGGGTGGGTGGGTGAGTGGGTTGGTGAGTGAGTGGGTGAGTGAGTGAGTGGGTGAGTGAGTGGGTGAGTGAGTGGGTGGGTGAGTGAGTGAGTGGGTGGGTGAGTGAGTGAGTGGGTGAGTGAGTGGGTGAGTGAGTGAGTGGGTGGGTGAGAGAGTGGGTGGGTGAGTGGGTGAGTGGGTGGGTGTGTGGGTGGGTGAGTGGGTGGGTGGGTGAGTGAGTGGTGAGTGAGTGGGTGGGTGAGTGGGTGAGTGAGTGAGTGGGTGGGTGGGTGGGTGAGTGGGTGGGTGGGTGGGTGAGTGGGTGGGTGGGTGGGTGAGTGGGTGGGTGAGTGGGTGAGTGAGTGAGTGGGTGAGTGAGTGAGTGGGTGGGTGGGTGAGTGGTTGGGTGAGTGAGTGGGTGGGTGGGTGAGTGGATGAGTGAGTAAGTGGGTGGGTGGGTGAGTGGGTGAGTGAGTGGGTGAGTGAGTGGGTGGGTGGGTGACTGAGTGGGTGAGTGGGTGAGTGAGTGGGTGGGTGAGTGGGTGAGTGGGTGGGTGAGTGAGTGAGTGAGTGGGTGGGTGGGTGAGTGAGTGGTGAGTGAGTGGGTGGGTGAGTGGGTGAGTGAGTGGGTGGGTGGGTGGGTGAGTGGGTGGGTGGGTGGGTGAGTGGGTGGGTGAGTGGGTGAGTGAGTGACTGGGTGAGTGAGTGAGTGGGTGGGTGGGTGGGTGAGTGGGTTGGTGGGTGAGTGAGTGGGTGGGTGGGTGAGTGGATGAGTGAGTAAGTGGGTGGGTGGGTGGGTGAGTGAGTGGGTGGGTGGGTGAGTGGATGAGTGAGTGAGTGAGTGGGTGAGTGGGTAAGTGAGTGAGTGGGT